TTGTCCGCCCAATAACTTAAGATTCCTTTTACCCACAGTCTTCATATTTGACATGGAGGTTAGTCATGATAAGTAGATGACCCTATTGATTTTAAGGTCACCAGGTCGAAGGTCAAGGTCACAGGGGCCTGGACTTTAAAAGCTTCTCCGCCCAATAACTTAAGATTCCTTTGACCCACAGTCTTCATTTTTGGCATGGAGGTTAGTCATGATTAGAAGATGACCCCTTTTGATTTTGAGGTCACCAGGTCAAAGGTCAAGGTCACAGGGGCCTGGACTTTAAAAAGCTTGTCCGCCCAATAACGTAAGATTCCTTTGACCCATAGTCTTCAAATTTGGCATGGAGGTTATTCATGTTTATTAGATGACCCATATTGATTTCGAGGTCAAAGGTGAAGGTAACAGGGACCTTGAAAAAAAAGCTTTTCCCCTCAATTGCTTAAGAATGCCTGTCCGCAGTGTATTGATTTTGACATTTTCACATTTGAAGCATGTAGAATACATAACTTAGCAATTGTGCTTCACAATGCGATATTTTCATATATGGTATACAATTATTACACAGGTTTAACGCCTTTTATCGACGAATATAATCAAGCTATTTGCGACCTAGTCAATGTATTTTCTTCGTAACTTATTAAGAAATATATGATAATTAGATCTTAACAAACTTTCAGCATTTTGATTGCATATTGTAACTTCATACAATTTGACAATTGTTTCCCGAAATAAATTATTATTTGCAAACATGTTGCTCACGTCTGATTTTGTTAGAAAATAAGAACAATAAACTTCCTTTGCAATGTTAATTGAATTAAAAAAATCATAGAAAACAATCAAAGGAAGAAGTGTCTGTATATTTTATGCTTGAAATAATGCACCAGTAAAGCTTGAAAGTCTCCATATGTCCTTTATTGTTTTGGCGTAATGTGAAACCCAACCTAAAGAAATATTTGGCTGTAGCAATGTGCTTGGTGAACTTCTGTGAAAATGGATTATATATTTAATTTATTTTTTTCTTTTATAAAAGGAAGTAACTTGAATTCAAAAGATATTTTACTTAGAAACTATAATGCCCAAAACTTGTAATAAGCAAAAGTTAAATTAATTATAATGGGGTAAAGATTTACCCTACTCTTGGGGTTTCATATTATATATGTTAACTTGTATGGGAAAACATATGAGCCGTGTCACGACAAAACCAACATAATGGGTTTGCGACCAGCATGGATCCAGACCAGCCTGCGCATCCGCGCAGTCTGATCAGGATCCATGCTGTTCGCTTACAAACCCTATTACATGTAGAGAAACTGATAGCGAACAGCATGGATCCTGATCAGACTGCGCGGATGCGCAGGCTGGTCTGGACCCATGCTGGTCGCAAACCCATTATGTTGGTTTTGTCGTGACACTGCTCAATTATGTATCTACCATAAGAGCTTATGCTAGGCATTACTATAGACGTTTACAAAACTAACAGGACTAATGGCACTAAAAGAGGCCACCAGTACAGAGCCAGATCACATCCATACAGAGTGACTAATAGCTCACCCAGTAGTTCATTTGTACAAATACATTAAATATCTAATACTAATCTCTCAGACTTTGAACGAACTGTTCCAAGTTCACAGCTGAGCAAAACCATTTAATATTTTTACCAGGTAAAGGGTGCCATAGACTAAAGATATGTTATATATATTTTGGTTTCTTAACTCAATGTACATGTATATGGAGAGCTACTATAGATGTGTATCTACCCATGTCATGAAGGTCTAAAGTTGGATTTCTTCTTGTTTACTATGTCAAATAATTAAAAAAGAGTGAGAACAATGAAACATTCTATAATTTAACAAAGCCCATTTTCATAACTACCATCTCAATAGGTATTGCGTTGCTACCCAGTTGTATCATTGAGTTTTTTCGTACTCACTTCAACAAAGACCTATATATTACGAAGCTTATAGCTGTGTGGTTTTAGGGACGTATTCGAGACAGTAAATTGTGTATAACATGAATTAAAGTTTCCCCACAAAAATATATTTTAAAAGTGCTAATACTCGCCGATGACTGTCGTTAAACCTGTGTAACGGTTCAGTACCATATATGAAAAAATCGCATTTTTCGGCGTGACCGCGAAGCACTTTTCACATACATCGGCGTTGCCTCATAAAAACGACTTGAATGTCATCTTATCAGCTTATTTTAATTGTCTATATCACAAGAAGTTTAATAGGGGTCACTTGCCTAACAAAAATCGAAATTATACGGTATAATATGCATTGGTGTACTTGTAGGAGTCGACAAAAATAAACAAAATCTCGTTCAAAACGGTAGTCAAGCCATCATTTTCACAAAAAAATGATCTTGAAAAGTAAACAATTTCGTGGAAATAATCTTGATTATGGGTAAAGTATTGTGTTCGCAGCCGTATGCGGCTTTTACTTTTTTCAGTTCGGTTAAAAAAAAAATATTGGCCAGTTTACTTACTGCGTTAGAAATCCTGTCAGGTATCCGCCATTTATTGCACAATTCTGCGTTATTTTCACATTCCGGCGTTACTGGATATACACGGTGAATCTTAACTGATATGAATTACACACTTAGAGACATTGTGTAATGCTGTGTTCTCACCGCCGATCAGATCAACTCGATCAAGCACGATCAAGCGATCGGGTACCGGTCTAGTTCGGTCTGCATACGTGATCGGGGGTGGTCGGAGCGGTCTACCTTGGTCGGCATGGCTCGGGCTTCCTACCCGAATTTTTTTGACATGTCAAAAAAATTCGAGTAGCGATCGAGTAGATAAGCGGTCGAGAAGCGATCGTATAATGATCGAGTAGAAAATCTAGTTGATCGAGAATAAATCGTGTAACGATCAAGTTTGGTCGGTTACTTGTCGCACTTGTTACTTGTAACATTAAATTATTTCCAATTATCATGTATCTAATAAATCTAACCAATCGACAATGTGCATTTGTACCTCGTGACCGTCCAATATGTGACTGTCCAATATATTCTGGTATTGGGTCAATTTTTTTATGAATGGTTGGGTACAAGTGAACTAAACGAAGCTAGTCTGGTTTCTGAATACAATCTCTAACAAACGTCATGATGAGGATATTTCAAATTTAAGGAAAAAATAAACAATTAAAGGGCTATTATACACTTTACTGTACAATATGGAATATATTTGGACGAAAGTCATATTGAACGAACCTATAATTATACCACACATTCTATACCAATATACATTTGATTTCGCATTGTTTACTCGACATCAATTCATACCCGATATGCATTGAATTTACATAGCCTAATGCTTTGTATATGATGAAGATTTTTGTCACTTTCATATGTCAGCTGTTATAGATCTATGTAGATCTATATATCTTTTACCGATAGTAAGATTTATATGAGTTAGGGCAAAAATATACATGTATGCCAGATAAAGGCTTCCACTCCCATGATCTTGGTAGATCTACTTTCTCATAATTGTATTTTCTCGTTTTTGTCCCTTCTTGTTTTCGCGTTTTGTCTTTATATGTTTTTCGCTTTAAGCCATGGTCCTACTGGTACACGGTATTTTAATAGATTTTTCAGATGTACCCTATTGCAAAATAGATGAATACAGAATCCCTAAAGAAAGCCCAACACGGCAAAATTGAAAATGTTGCAGGCGGTTTGATTGAGCCTGTTCATGGACGGTACTGGAAAGTGCAAGTTACCGTCCACGCCCCCTAGCACCGGCTTAAGCAGAATTCAACATTTAAACGTGAAATAGTAAAATTTTGAATTTAGAAACATCCGCAGATGTGTTCATACGGCGGTTATCATGGAACCTTCAATGTGACACTTCCGTGCCATTCCATGAAAAGCGGCGTATGGTCCCCAAGTAATAAAATGCGTGTGCCCTAAACGAGAAAACAATGGGCGGAACTAAATAAAATGGAATTTTGAAAGGGGATCGGAGGTTATGAAGCCTGCGTATCACAGATAAGACGTCAAAAGACAAATTTAAAAAGCAGGCAACATATCCTAAGGGTGATTCAACATTATTCAAGTAGGAATATTGGAACCACCCAACTAGAAAATGCCGAAAACTTGAAACTAAAAATACCACAAGCACAACAATAATGTCGTGCTGAACGATCTTCAAGGATCGAAAATATAACATCATTGATTAAATGTACGGGGAGACTTTTTACAGCCGCCACACGGCACAAATAACACGGATGTGATCATAAAATAGATGAATACAGAATCCCTAAAGAAAGCCCAACACGGCAAAATTGAAAATGTTGCAGGCTCGGTTTGATTGAGCCTGTTCATGGACGGTACTGGAAAGTGCAAGTTACCGTCCACGCCCCCTAGCACCGGCTTAAGCAGAATTCAACATTTAAACGTGAAATAGTAAAATTTTGAATTTAGAAACATCCGCAGATGTGTGCAGATGCAACTCATGAAAAGCTGTTCTACTCGCAATAAGATATTTTACGCGCAGCTGGTTAACGGGTGTGAATCATTGACAACGCGGCAGCGTCTAGAGCTGTACTATTTATAGTTTAATGTTTATTACAGTTTATCCAGTGCAGGTGTTCATTTCAAATTAAGTAAAGTCGCAGCTCTGCATAAAAAAATGTTAAAGATTTTATTAGCAACAATTGATTTATGCACAGTGAATGCAACCAAAAGGTATTTTAAAACATTTTGAACAATGAATCACATTTTTATTTTTAGTAAAATAGAGCAAAATTAGGTACAAATTAACTTAAGGTATTGTTCGTCTGCTACTGAAAATAATCTTAGTAGATCTAGTTTAGGCATTTGTTTCCTTTCCTTTTTTTATCAGTGATTTAAAATTTAAAATGAAAATGAGTTGATGCTAGAAGTAGATCTAGATCTACAAAAAAGTAAACCAAATGTCTGTTTTTGGTGTTTTCATCAAAATCCCTAAAATTAGTGAATGAATAATATTAAGATGTCAATTATTTCCATTTCAGAACTGAAGGATGAACTCATCATATGGTACAACACAAATCAAAGTACAGTTCCTCTTTCACCACTCACAGATGATCCCCATACCCCTCTGGCTGGGTTCTACATTATGCCAGAAATTGACATACAGACTTATCTATCAGGCGGAAGGAAAGAAACAACTAGGGTCAAGTCGTTACAGGACCTGTTTACATGTGGAAGAAAAGTTCCACGGGAAATATATTTATCAGCAGTTGCTGGATTTGGGAAAACAGCATTTTCAAAATATCTTGCAATAACATGGTGTCAAGCTCATAAAAAAGATGAAAATTATAAGCATTTTAAAAAAGAAGAATTAAAAGCTTTATCTGGCTTTGAGTTTTTATTTCTAGTGCTATTGAGAGATTCAACTGAAGTCTGTGATGTCGACGACATGATTGAACAACAAGTCATTCAATACCTTCCGTGCTCATCTTCATTGCCAAAAGGTCTATTAAAGGACATTCTACGAGATGAAAAATGTCTTGTTATATTAGATGGACTAGACGAATGGACACATCCTGACAACGATTGTACAAAACTTCCTAAAGTTATTCCACATCGATATGCACGTGAAAAGTGTATAATCTTGACAACGACCCGGCCGTGGAAGCTTGGAGTCTCAAACTTAAAGACAAGTCAAATGGACAAAATAATAGAGCTAGTTGAACTAAATGAAGATAATGCATGGAAGTTTAAGCTTAACACAATGAAAATATTGATAGGCAACATTGAAGATGGTGAGCTGAAAAATGAAGTGTGTAGATTTGAAGAAGAAATCAATGACCATGACCTTGAAGATATGGAATACACCCCTCTCCTGTTACTCTATCTTATATGCTTATGGGTTGAAAAAATTCCAATTGGAAATTCTGCAGTTGAATTATATACAGGCATTATTCAACTCCTTCTATCTAGAACAGAAAAGTTACATGGAAAGTTTCATTCATCATGTGAAAAATATCTGAATAACGTTCCCGAATGCTTTAGAACACATCAACATTTTTGTAGGTACTACATGTTTTTGGTGACCATTGGGAAACTTGCTTTTTATACACTATTCAGTAAGAAAAAGGAGCACACATTAGTTTTTGATAAATATGTTGCAGAAAAATATCTAAACCAAGAAGATTTGAAATCAAGCTGTCTATCAGGAATATTATCAGAAAGTAAAGTGAAAACATTAATAAATGAAAGTTCTAAAATCTCATTTTCACATAAAACAGTGCAGGAATACTTTTCAGCAATATTTATAAGTTTTCAAAATTCAGGTGAAGTTCAAAAAATCATCTTTAAAGAGTGCAACTGCTTACAAAATATTCTAGACATGTCAAAAGTGTTTACCTTTATTAGTTACATGAACCCTGAATTAATGTCTACAATATCAAGTGATTTAATGCCTGTGATAAACAATGATGAAAAAACAAGCAAATACAGAACTCTGACAGGTTATGATAACATGTACATTGATCCATTACAAGACATACAAGACATGTACATTTCTTGTGCCAAAGAAAGCCAGGAAAACAAAGACCTCAAATTGTGTTTACAAGATTTCTTCATTAGTGAAAAATGTCAACAAGAAAACTACTTCAAACAATTACAATGTCTGTGTCAACAAAATAAAGAAAATATAAAATCAATAATGATAGAAAATGAAGGTATTTGTAGTCTACAAGAAATTATCAGTTTGTTTACACTCTCTGACCTTCCACATATAGAGAAATTATTGTATAGAGGTGAAATTGTAGAAGAGGAAATAATGAGCTTGTTATTGAACCCTTTAAAATGTTTAACTGTGATATCAAGTAAATGGGAAAATCATGACTTTGTAGAAGAAGATTGCCAGCTGTCTGCAGAGATAAATGGACGACTGGTAAAATTACAACACCTGGAGTGTTTATATATAGACTGTTTCACTATGAGCCACGAGGTAATGGAGACATTGTTAAATTTCCTCACTAGTAAAAAATCAATGAAAGAAATATCATTGTACAGTTTATACTGTAGTGATCACAAGAATACTTCATGTAGGGGATTCAACCTTGACCTGTCTCAACATTCACAACTAAGATATTTAGGATTGGCCAGGATACCTGTGTCACAATTAAACATGGATGTATCATTGTTAGAGGAATGTCGTGTAGGTGAATTATATAAACCTGGTGTTGTGTCATCTTATCTCAGTCAACTACCAGCAGCCAGTAAACTACAAACATTTTGGTGTAGTGATCTAGAATCTTCCAGTGACATAGAAACAATGTTACAAACATTATCATTGTTATATCATGTGAAAGTTGTTTGGTTGTGTTACATCAATCTAGGTGAAAGATCATTAACACTGTCACCTCAAATGATCAATATTGAACGTGTTGACTTGATGTATATAACAATGTCTTGTTCAGTGTTATATGATCTCATTACTGTTATAAACAAACTACCACATACAGTGACAGTATATATGTTAGGTTGTGATATAAAACCAGAAACAGAATTTGAAAACTTTAAAACATTTATAAAACAATCAGACAATTTTGTGGTCACCTATGATGACACCGTGCAGTCTGGAGAGTATGGGTTTGAGTTTAAAACAACAACAAGTACTGAGTAACCTTAAATGAACTTGTGAGAAACAATTTATAAATAGATTATGAGACAAGTGACAGGTGAAATAGACATCATTTTTTATTTTGAGTCTGACATTTAATCAATACTTTGCTGTACATAACAATGTGATGTGAATGGAAACTGATGATTTTCTTCTTAGGACAACAAATGTGGATTAATTTTAGATGTGTTTAACCCAAGTAAGTGTTGTTTATTTTTCTACTTTATAATAATATGCTGCATATACATGTACATGTACTTGTTTTTTTTTTGTAACACCTCAAATATTTTCAAAGTCCGTTGACATATGGCTTTGAAACTTTGCACACTTGTTTACCCTTATGACTCAAACCTGCTGACAGGAGGAGGTAACTCTATCAAGAATTTTGACATAATTATGCCCCCTTTGCCACTTCGAATTTATTTTTAAAGTTTTTGTTACACCTCAAATATTTTCAAAGTTCATTGACATATGGCTTTGAATCTTTGCACACTTGTTCACCATAATGCCCCCAACCTGTACACAGGAGGATGTAACTCTATCAATCATTTGACAGAATAATGCCCCTTTTTTGACTTAGAATTTACGTTAAAGTTTTTGTAATACCTCAAATATTCTCAAAGTCCATTAACATATGGCTTTGAATCTTTGCACACTTGTTCACCATCATGACCCCAACCTGTAAACAGGAGGAGGTAACTCTATCAAGAATTTGACAGAATAATGCCCCTTTTTTGACTTAGAATTTATTTTTAAAGTTTTTGTAATACCTCAAATATTCTCAAAGTCATTGACATATGGCTTTGAAACTTTGCACACTTGTTCACCATCATGACCCCAACCTGTAAACAGGAGGAGGTAACTCTATCAAGAATTTTGACAGAATAATGCCCCTTTTTTGACTTAGAATTTATTTTTAAAGTTTTTGTAATACCTCAAATATTTTCAAAGTCCATTGACATATGGCTTTGAATCTTTGCACACTTGTTCACCATCATGACCCCAACCTGTACACAGGAGGATGTAACTCTATCAAGCATTTTGACAGAATAATGCCCCTTTTTTGACTTAGAATTTACGTAAATGTTTGAATACCACATTAAATATTTCAAAGTCCATTGATTATATGGCTTTGAAAATTTTCACACTTGTTCACCATCATGTCCCAAACCTGGGACTTATAACTCAAAAACTCAAGTTGCCTTGGTTGATATGTTTTTTTTAGCTCACATGTCACAAAGTGACAGGATCAGCTTTGTGATCACAATTTGTCCAGCCTCCGTCTGTTGTACGTACGTCCGTAAACTTAATTTAAACAACATCTCCTCATAAACAGCTCAGCCAATTTTATCCAAACGTCACAGGTGGTCACCAATGAAATTATTCAAATAATTTAATTCCATGCAGAACTTCTCGATGGCTCAGTGCAAAACTCAGCTAAGTCCATATTTCACCCAAAAGGACTTTTTGATAAATTCTGAAAGCTAAATTAATCAAACATCCCTTTATCCCTGTAAGTATTTTGAACATATTCCCTGTATTAGTAATTATATTTAAATTTTAAGTAAACATGCTAAGTCAAACTGATCAAATTAGTTACTGCAAAACTGGGTTAAGTCAAGTTTAAGTATGAGTTTTGCACCAATTTTTTTTTCAACCCACAAAAAATCACCAGTGCAAAACTAGTCTAACTTGATTATGGACCCTTTCATTATTAAAATGTTTAGAGTCACAGTACCTGTGCTCGACCAGCCCAATGCTCGACCAATACTTCTATTTGTTAACGATTTATGCATTAAAGTGGAAAAACCCTGGGAGTTTGTGTGTGCTATTTGTAACTGACTTGTTACCTCTACACCATGTACCAGTACTCCAAGTTTGGTAGAAGTTTTGCCATTTTGCAGACAATATTTAACAGTACAAAATGCAATTCTATAATTAAAGTAGCAGTAAAACTATTTAAAACACTAAAATAATGATAATTTAGGGCAAATGTGGACAATACTTTGTTAAATTGCCTTTACTCTTATGATTCCAAATGATTTCCCATAGGAAATGTGCTCAAAAATTATCAAGACCTTGCTTTCCATAAAAGGCAGGGGCTATGAACATGTAAACAAATATGGCAGCTGTATGGAAACAAATCAGGAACACACCACTGAAAGCATAAACCATTTGTATATTACACCAATTATCACACTTAACTATGTTTGCAGAGTGATTTTAGTAAAGAAAAATATGAGAATAAGTAATCTCAAACACCCCAGTATATGTAAATACCAAAACTCTTATAAACACTATTTGTCAATGTATAGTATTTCCTTCGTATCATATTTGCTCTCATATTAACATTTATAGACCCTAAAACATAAATGTTTCAAAATATTTTTGAAATAGAATTGTTGAACATAAAAAGTCATATCTGTTTTAAAAAAATAAAAGTTCTGATAGAGATAAAACCACCTGGTCGAGCACTGGTTTGGTTGCCTGAAGAATATAGTGGTTTTATACCCTATATACAACTCTGTGGTAAATTGTATCCTGATCTGTGTAATTAAAACCCTTAAGCTTATTGTGAGATTGAAAGGGCCAGCTTTGTAACAAAAATAATTTTCCCAGCAAACTTTTTATTCTGAAAGAGTTTTTATGTAATTTTGTGAAAAACTGGTTGAGCACTGGTATGGTGACTCTATATTGAATTTAGTATAAGATCGACTTATTGTTTGATTTTATTAACCTGTCAATTCCATACTGATTATACGGTCAATGCACAGAATGTATTAATATTCGATAAACGTTCGGTAAATTCCGTGAGAGGTACGCAGCAAGATGTGATTAAATTCATCTAGTTTCTATAAATTTGTTACACTGACCGTTATAGCGCAATAGGGTAAACAACAGGTATATTTTATCTGAATGTCCAACGTGTTGTAAGATCGAGACAGAGTATGTCCAGTTTTTTTCTTATTCATTACTATTGATTGTCAACATTCTTGAAGTTATGGTTGTTCCATTTTAATATGTTTTGCACTTTTTGAAAGTACTATACTTTCGTATATAAAAGAACTTAAGAATTTAGACTGAATATTTATTCGGATTAAAATCTATAAATTTAATTTTAGTGCCGTAAAATACAATACAAAATGTGACAATTCAGTGTTTCTTAGTTGTTTTATATTTGTAGACAATTTGCAATAGCTTGACCATTCTCATTAAAATATACTTAAAAATAAAGAAAGAATAACTCTAAAAAGGATGTCAAAAGAAAGGATCGAACTTCGGACCTCTCATGCATTAGGTAATCACTTAACCGACTGCGCTATTGCGGATGTTACGAGAATCCTTCGTTAAGCTAGTGGCAGTTTTCTAAACGTTAGTTATATACACCATATTAATTCTCGTAAAATAAACAGACAAAACCAAAGTGGGATCGAATATTTAAATGAGTGCTGTAATGTATTCATAATTGACAGGTCAATAAAATCAGACTATACTCACACCTTAATACCAACCCGTCAAAAACAATGTTTTGCAAATTGCAAAAATTAACATTTTGTGTAATTCTGGATTCTGGTCAATGATTAAACAATTCTCTGTCAAAAATACTAATGCACTATAACCCTTTCAAAGAGGTATACAAAGCAGAAAACAGGGGTGGGGGTGGGGTGGGAGGATTATCAGACAACTTTGAAACAGTTCCAGTGTTAAACTTTCAGTAAGAAAGTCTATGGACCAGACTGGCTTATTATAACATACTCCTACTAAGCCATTATGGTCCCAGTAAATATCACATAGTCAAAATATTTTTATTTTTGATACAGTTTTAACTTTAAATGTGATATAATTATATAAAATCATTTCAAACATCTGTTCATAGCTAATACCTTACACTTTTTATAACATTGTTTTTCATAGCAATCAATATATTGCATTACAGGTTTACTATAATTTCACAATATATTGTGGTACATCATAACAAGGGTTTGATCATATTATTGCATTCAAAGAATAAGTCATTTAAAGATCAAGTGAAATTTCAATTCAAGCTTTTCATAAATTTTAAGATGAAACGTTTAAAAGGGGGAATTAATAATTTGTATTCTACAATAAAATGTCAAAGCTAAAGAAAGGTAGAGCAATGCTTCTATAATGTGGTATACTATCTAAAAATTTAATTTATCATTAGTGGAGAGGAACAAATATATTAAATACTAAAAATGAGAAACAGTTTGTGTCATGCCTGTATCGAATCAGCTAATTTCTCAAATATTTATTGTCATTTATAAAACAGGCTCTCTCAGAGAGCAACTTCAACCACAACAGCTGACTTTGATACCACCATACCATGTGAAGAAAATGAATAACAAAGATTTAGTTCAAATTGTGCTCATTGCTTGTGCAAAAAATACCCAAACATTTCATATGAAATGTACAAAGGTCTTATTTATTTTTGCACTTCAGGTTTAATTCCTTATTCCTAACATTTCCATTTTATAAGACTGCAAGTGTATAATTAAGTAATGTTCAGTCTAAGTTACAAATATTGTCATATTTTAAGTTGCATTGTAAAATAACTATTTAATAGAGAAATAGAAATATCAACTTTGACAAGTAAATTATTTGTTTCAGAATGTTCATTGTATGTAATTTTTCCTCTTATTATATAAATCAAATAGATTTGTAAATTATGTTAACTTGACTTAGCACATATTTTACAACTTCTGTCCAACATATCATTCATTTGCAAGTGCAAAACTCATTCAAGTTGACTTTAAGCCTAGTTTTGCACTCATTTGTTTTAAGAAAAGTCTTTGGTTTTTAGCGCAAAACCCATGCTAACTCAAATAATGGCTTTTAAACCATCAAAAATTAATTTCACTTGAAAATGACATCATGTAAGTTTCAAGGCCTTTAGCATGATACAGAAATAATAGAATATTAAAAAGATATCTGTAGGGTAAAAAATAAGACAGTTTTTTCACCCTCCTGTAAAATTTCAAAAAATGATGTTAGCTGAGTTTTGCGCTGAGCCATCGATCTGTTGCCATGCTATGATGGTAATGGAAAGAAAAAACTGAAAAAAATGTTCTTTTTAAAAACCAAAAGAGGTTTATAATATAGCTCGTTAATTTTCTCTATATGTATATAGGGAAAACTTAATTTTTTTCAAAACCCAAATAGCTAAAGCTTAATAAATAAAGCAAGAAACATCTTTTAGCTAGATTCTACCATGTATATTCAAATAAAAGCCCTAGGGTCAAAATGTGCCCTGCCCCAAGTCGTCATTGATTTTCTTTGCTTATCTTTTGCTGCTGTTGTTTTCCCTTAGAAAAAGCAACCAATAATGTTTTTACACAAGCACTTTTTCAGATACAAATATGAACTTTGTGATATCAGTTTTAGATTTAGGTTTTATATCTGCTTTTGTCTATAATACTTTTATAATCAGGTGAGCGATTTCAGGGCCATCATTGCCCTCTTGTTACTGAATTACCACCTTAAATCAAATACTACTTGATCACTCAATATATTTAAATAGGCTCTTATAGTTAATAAGTTAACATCTGTCTCTACTTGACATAAAGGAAAAAAGAACCAATCGAGATTATCACTTAATTAATTAATTTCCGTCCGGTTCACGTGACAACCTTGTTGATATAGGTCTAACCAAACAATGCATAAAGTTTATAAAGTCTGACTGAGCTCCTTTTTGTAAACATTTTATTTTGATCAATCAGGACAAAGGTTGCAATCCTGTTTAATCTTATGAAATTTATGTCCCGGAAACTGGTGTTCGGCTGAACTTTTATAGCTTGCAATAATTTTCCACAGTAACAAATTTGTAATTATTAATTTGCATTCCTATGTGTGTGTGTGTGTAATATAAATAGCAACCAGTGAGTTTATAGCAGTCATTGACTTTTCATAGCAAACTGTTAATTTTCTAAGCAACCCGTGACTTTTATAGCAAATTTTGCCATTAAGCTGAACCAGTGATTAACTTTCCATTCCCTAGAAACTCTTTTTTTTAGCTTTATCTAAATGATATCACTTATGATATCACATTATTTATAAAAATGTATACATTTAATTACAATTGAAACTCTGTTCATTCACAAAACAGTAAATATTTGCACAAAAATAAGCTATTGAAATTGTTACACTAATTCATTACAATTTTATAAATATATGTGAGTGACTTGGTTATTATATAATTACATGGTATGTAAAATCCTACAAATCAAGCTTGTTCTTGAACGATTGGTTTTTCTAAAACTGATTGTTTTGTATTTTCAGCATTATGTGCATTCCTTCTTCCAAGAAATGGGCAGATTCACAAACGACTTCAATTAATCCAAGAACTGACATTTATGTGGAATTTTCTGTAATTATGATATGAACAAAATCATAGACTACAAAATGGGTCCTACACAAACATAATGTGTCACATGGGATTCATGAACAGTACATGTATGGAATAATTTTGCGTGCATACAAGACTGAAGTCACATAGTGTAATGAAGTCCAGCAATTGTTTGAAGATACTGGTATTTATAAAATATATATAACAGTTCATATTAACTTTACTCTTCCAAACTGGATACTCAAACCAATCATGAGTTGATTAATTAATAGTTCAAATTGAAATAATAACTAAACGATTACCTGGCTATTAGTTATTGTTTTACCAGACAGCAGTTGCAGTCATTGTTTTGTTTAAAAACATGGATATGACAACTCAGACAATTTAAGGCATGCACATAACCTACTTGTAAAATATTGCTTATACATGTATTAACTCTCAGGGAAAATTTATTATATTTTCCATATTTTGTGAATGTATAATACATACATGTATATATTTGTATAGAATGTTTGCTTTATAATATATGCATTATTTATATTCATGTATAATATGTAAATACAATGTATACATTTATGTGATATAGTTGATATTAACATTTCTCTTCCAAACTGGAGACCCAAGCAAATCATTAGTTGATTAGTTAATAGTTCAACTTGAAATAATAACTTAATGAGTAACTGGCACTTAGTTTTTGTTTTACCAGACAGTTGCAGTCATTGTATAGTTTAACAAAATGGGATTTACCACTCAGACAATTCAAGGCATGAAAATAGCCTACTCACGCAATATTGCTTATACATGTTAAAAACTCTCAGGAAAAATGATTACATTTTCCATATTTTGTTGATTTTTTTATGTAATTTCATTAGAATTATATTCTAATTGTATATAGTATGTTTATTTTTTATATTTATGTATAATATGTAAATATACACCTATGTATAATACTACTGCTAGTCAATATTTGTACAAAGATATTCTTAAGTTAGCTAGTTAAAGTGACATTAAAGAAATACTTTGCTCAAATTTCATATTTGAAATTATCTATAAATGTTACACAGTCTCTTTGTAAGTATAAAATAAACATGTTTTAACTTCACACAAAGTACATATTTTGTGTTTAAAATTCTACAAACTTTAGGTGGTCACAATATGAATATATAGTGTCATAAGAACAACTGGCAGTTTTTTTGACAAAAGACTACTTTTACATGACCTGTAATAGGGAACGCAGCTTCCAATATATAATTAATTCATTTTTAGCTCGACTATACGAAGTATATGGAGAGCTGTCCTACTCGCCCCGGCGTCGGCGTCCGCGTCCAGATTTTAGATTAAAGTTTTGGTGCAGTAAAATATTTTTCACTATAACTTTGTCATTTCTTAAGGTATCAACTTCAAACTTCAAATATATGTTCCTTATTCATCAACCACATCATATATCGTGACAAGGTTCATAACGTCTAGCACCAATATTTTCAGATTTATCTCCCCTTGAACTTTTAGAATTTTTCCTTAAAAAATACTATTTTTTACTGTTACTTCCTTATTTCTTAAGGGATCAACCTCATACTTCAAATATATGTTACCTTATCATCCATCCCCATCTTATGTGACAAGCGTTCATAACTCTAGCACCAATATTTCAGATTTATCTCTCCTTGAACTTAGAATTTTTCCTCAAAAAGTACTATTTCTTACTGTTTCCTCTTTATTTCGTAAGGGATCAACCTTATACTTCAAAATGTATTTACGTTATCATCATCCCCATCTTATGTGACAAGGTTCATAACTCTAGCACCCAATATTTTCAGATTTATCTCCCTTTGAACTTAGAATTTTCCATAAAAAATCATTTTTTTTTACTGTTATTTATTTATTTCTAAAGGGATCAACTTCATACTTCAAATATGTTTACGTTATCATCATCCACATCTTATGTGACAAGGTTCATAACTCTAGCACCAATATTGCAAGAATTTCCTCCCCATAAACTTTAGATTTTTTTACTAGAAAAAATGTTATTTTTTATTCTAACTTTTTTATTTTTAAAGATATCTACCTCAAATTTCAAATACTTATTCCTTATCAACAATTACATTTTTATGTGACATTGTTCATAACTCTTTATGCAATATTTACAGATTTATCTCTCTTTGAACTTAGGATTTTCTTTAAGAAATATAATAACTTCTTTTCTTTTTTAAGGTATCTACTTCAAACTTCAAATATATATTTCTTATCATTACACAAATGTTGTGTGACAAGGTCCATAACTGTAGCATGACTATTTCTAGAATTATTCCCGTTGATCTTGGAATTTATGTTAACAAATATTATTTTTTTTACTATAACTTAATACATAATTATACATAATTGATTTTTCTTTCATAGTTTTGTCCTCCTTACTGTGTCCAGTATTTTATTAGTCGAGCTTCGCTGTCTCCTGTGACAGCTCTTGTTATTATATAGAATTACATAAATTTCAATAAATTGCTGTGATAAAATATTTTACAATATGATGAGCATAGTATATGTTTAAATAATGCCCATCCAAGGGGATATAACGAGTTAAATTTATAGGTGAAGTCAAAATAAATTTTCATTTGGCCATAATTCCTTTCAGTCTCATGAACCATTATTAACAGTTCAGGTGGTCCAAGAAAATGTTTGTAAATATCCATTTACCTGATATGTTCAATTTAACAAAACAAAACAAAAAATAGTGGCACTTATATTTTATCTTAAACTTTTTTCAATATTATCAATCACCATAATTACAGTGTATATGTTTGTCAACTTTACAGTGAAAAAATAATGTCCCTTTTAAAAAGAAAGTTACATTACTTTGGAGAGAAATTACATTTATTTTGGGGTAAATCAATTTTTGTTATATCATTTTTTGGGAAAAAATCATTGTTAATTTTTACAATTGTAATGTAAAAATTTAAAAGTCACAACATAAATAATATTACGGGGAACATGGTAATTTTTTATCACAAAGTGAAAGTATAGAATTTATTTCCATTGGTGTGTACTGTATACATGTATATAGTTTTTTTAAGACAAAGTGAAAATATAGAATTTATTCCCATTCATACGTTGAAGTTTATTATATCATGTATATAGATTTCTTACTAGCAAATACTAAATATACCCCCTCCGGGGGTCGGGGGGGTTTAGAGTCAGATTTCAAATCCAGTTCCTTCGGGCGTGGGTTGCCCCCCGGGGGAGATTTTGGGGGAGTTTAGCGCGGAGGAAGGTAGTTAGTATGGTAACCTCCGGGAACGGGGTTGGGGAAATTATCCCGCTATATGACTGAAATGTTAAAAAAGGCCGTTAAATAAAACAAACAAACAAAAACTAAATAACAGTGTCATCAAGTGTTTCTATTCAAAGTTGAAAAGGTTTTATCTTAAAAATTAGTTATTTTATGACTTGTTGTAAAATTTTTTTTTTTAATTTTCAAACCCCCAAAAGCTTTAGTCAAGCTTATGTTCTAATCTCTAAAAAAGTTATCTCATTCACTAAGAAATGTTTTTTATGTTTGTAAAAATTTTAAATTTTTTAAAAATTTATTTTTTAAAATTATAATAAAACCACTAAAGCTTTATCTCCCCAAGGTTTTGTGCTTTGAAAAAAATTCAAAGGAATAATTATTTTAAAACAAAGTTTTAAGCATGGGTCCTGGTCTGATGCATAGATCTTAAGAAAAGCTAAAATTGGAAATTAAAAAAAAAATCCTTGGAAAAATACTGTTATCATAGCATGCCATTGATATGTTTAAGATCTTATATTGTATAAGATTTGCATTTTAGTACATGATTTATAACAAGATTTATATTTGTGTACAAATTGTAAAATTCTAATTAAGTTTTTTTTATTTGTAAAAATTACATTTGGGGGGAAAATTTCTAATGTAAGTTTTTTTGTATTTTGAGAAAATTACTATGTTGTTAAATTTGCATTATGAATTTTTATTTTTGTGCTTTTTTTACAAGATTTAATTTATGTACAAAATTTTAAATGTATCTTTCATACTACCTAGCTAGTCGGGTTGAGCTTTTAGATCGTTGGGGTTAGTTTGCCCTTTTCCAAAATTGACTTTAAACACTCAAGTGTCTATTTGCCTCAACCAATCAATTTTGTCAAGGCTGTCAAGGTAAACCTATAATTTCGAAATGACATCTCGGATGAATTAACTACTAACAGGAGCAAAAAAATTAAAATTTTTTAACACTTATGCTATTTTTTTGATCAAAAATACCGGGGCTTTGGTTTAAAATTTTTTTTATAATTTCTGGGGTAAAATTTGAAAAAGGGTCCCCGGGGTTCAAAAACGGGGCCCCACATTCCCCAAATATGGAAAACCTTTGATACATTTGGGTCACTTTTTTACTCAATTTTATCAAATTCGTCAGGATGCGTTTAAGTAATTTCCATGATTTCAAAGGTCAGGTGTGACTGGCCATTTTTGGCCCTGTTGTTTGGTACTAATTTTAAAAAAATTTGTTTTGGTCAATTTACTATTTAAAAGAAAGTTGTTTCAGTTTTATTAGAAATTTTTTTGGGCTAGATTTCTTTTTTTGTTTTTGGGTTACATAGTAACAAAAGATAATTTTTTTTCTACTTTATTTACTATAAACGGGACTTAAATTTCTTTTATGAGGAAGCTGTAATCAGCAGGGAACCCGTTTTTTTACTCAGGCCCTTTTTTTCTGATACTATGCACAGAAGGGTACCTGAGGTCTTCCTCTATCAGTAAGGCTGGGCATATACTGAGTTGGCGTGATGTAAATCCCTAAATCAAACAAGCAGGAAACATTATATACTACAATACTTTGTATTTGTGTACATGATTTACTATCAGTTTTGAATTTGTGTGCATGCCTGACTATGATATTTATATTTGTGTACATGTTTTTATTGCATGTATGGGATTTTTATATTTGAGTACATGATTTATTTTATGACTTGCATTTTGTCCTTATTATGTACTGTACATATTTTACAATGAAAGTTCATGTAAATGATAAGAAGAATTGCTACTATTATTATCATTTGATATTTGTTATTATTTAGTTTTTTCTTGCAACATGTAGTTATGATATGCAATGAATGTTACCAATCAAAGTACACACAATAATTAAAATCAAAACTAGTTGGCTGCCATTAGCTTTAAAAAATAAGAACTAACAGACTATCTTGCCTAACCAC